CAGTTTCGCTTTCGTTTCCTTTTCAATTACTTTCCTCACACATTCTATCTCTCTCCTTTATGTTCAGCTCTTTTAATTTCTGTTCTGTATTCAACTTTTTTTTTACAAACACTAAAAATGGACAAAAAAATATGGGTGGAATTACAATTTGACATTTTCACGGCGCTTGCATAGCACAACCTAGCCCGAAACAAGAGCACAAGGGTGCGGCAGCAAGTGGCTATAGAAAAATTTGCCATTTCCACATTCCTTTCACGGATACGATGACTAATCGCTTGCAAGGGTATTATTTGATAATAAATGTTAACTTACACTTGGAGCAATCAACACCCAGCGGATAAAACGTTGAAAAGCGCTCTATAAGATTTTATAAGATGCACTCGGAAATGTAACTTATGTTGTTGCTAGCGGGGCAGTGAGAGCTAACGGTCGCCTTTCCTTTCTTGTACACTAGGAACGCACACGAAAAGTGAACAAATACTGACAAATAGTCGAAATTGAAGCCGCAAAAATTGATATTTAACGCGCGCACTAAATATTTTTTTAGTGTTGTACCGATCTTCACAGTGGCTAAAATTTAACTCGAACCAAATTGGACGCAAGTAACTTATTTTAAATTGATATTAAATACAGGCGGCGCTACCAAACTGCATCACTATTCTCGCACACACGCGCGTACACTGCGGTCTTGACGGCTGTCAACTAAAGAATTAGGTGTTGCCACAAAACTCCATAAAATCCAGATTAAAAATAAAACATATATATGCGCTTCAGTGAAATCGCACCCCTAGAAACGTAACTATAGTTTACTTAAATATTAATCATATAGCCAATTGGTTAGCTTCTTTATACAAAATGATCATTAATGAAATGAAATTAATTTTGGAAATGAATGCCGCAACAATATGAAATCTAGTGGTAGCATTATCGAAGCGTAATAGACCGAACACAATGAAAACGACAGCTACTGACCACAGCTGTCAAATTATTTTTACACGTACTCTTGTGCGAAGCGCACATTACCATGATTCTGACGTTACGAATCCGCAGAGCCAAAATTAACAACAATACTACCCATATATTTTAACGAGCCAGCGCACACTTGCACGATTCCGTCGCTGTGAATTTTGCGAATATCCAATCTTCCTCTCTTTTGACGCGTTCGAAATTCGGCTTGCAGTGTTTGAAGGCGTCAAAGAGGAAGAAGAAGAGTGTCATAGCAATACATGCAAAAACTAATAGAAAATGTTCGTAACAATCCTATTTTATATGATGTGAGCGCGCCATGTACAAAAATATACGAAAAAAGGAACAATTAAGTGAATTTTACATCGGAATCCGTCGCGAAAAAATCGCACTAGTGTCTGAACGATAGCGGATTCGAAGTGAACAGCCGAATTCGCAATATATTCGCAACGACAGAATCGCACTAATGTGCGCTTCGCATTATGCCCGATCCGGTAATTAGAGAATAAGCGTAAAATTTGCTCTCAAAAATGGAACAAAGTCCAGAAGTAAAGAGAACCCACACATGCAAACACTTGGAAATTTAATTTCGGTTTTCCTAATTAGATATGTATATATATGTATGTAAGATTGAAAATACATCAACAGGACTTCCTCTATTCCTTAAAAGCACCAAGTAAACGCAAGTAACATGTAAACACAAAACAGCTGATATGCACTTCGACACTTTATCCATTTTTACCCGGAGAAAAAGTCCGGGCTGTTTCGGACAGGAAAAAGAAGACACTTACGATCCAATACGTTCCAACTTTCGCTCACTATTACCCATTTTTTGAGTACGGGAATGAGTTCTGGGCTGTTTTGGCCACCCGTGGGATTCCGCGCTGCGTACGTGAAAGAACCATGGTGAAATGAACTGAAGGTGGCGCATTCCCGAAACCGCTACTTTGGTTTTGCCGACTTTGACATTTATGGCAATACGTAAACAAACTTTTTGTTTAGAAACAAGTGCAAACGTATTGCAAACGTATTGTGTACTTTCAAGTGAAAAATCGAAGTAATTCGTGCGTTCTGAAGTAAAAAACGTTTTATTTGTAATAAAAACTTTATAAAAATGTCGTGTCGTGTGGTGAATTGCAGCAGCTGTAGGGGTAAAGCCCCCAAATGCAGTTTTTTTTGTTTCCCCGCGACGACGCCTTGGCCAGAAAGTGGGTAGAGTTCTGCCGGCAGGAGAAGCCATGAAATTTAGACACCAGCGTAATATGCATGAAGCACTTTACGGACCACTTTTAAACACGACATGTTAAGTTGAAAACGTTGAAATACCACAAATTACAAATTAAAATCGGAGGTAAGCAAGCATCAACCACTTTCTGCAAGAAAACATGCGCTGCGACAAGATATTATCAGTTTTTCGGCACCTGCAATACAAACACAAAAATTCTAAATAGTTAATTAATAAGACCTATTCTTTTGAACACATTTCAAGAGTGTTTGTATATTTTTTGTTAACGTAGTGCTTAATTTGCTATATTCAAAGATTGCTTGAGAAATTGGTGAATCGAGAAGAAAACATGTTTTCTCACTGCAAATTCACAACTGTCAACTCATTGTTCTTCGCCATATTCTTTGTTTACCCGTTGCCACAAATGTCATTCTGCGGGAATGCGCAATCTTGTATTCTATCGTTCTTGTGAAAGAACCTATTTTGGCGACGACCGGGCTACGTGACGCCTGTGGTTTTGGCCAGATTAGATCTATTTCTATATTTCCAGCGACAGATAAGGTTCTTCCTCTTATTTTATATCCAACTCATACAAATTTATGATGTCGCTGCTGCGTTCAAAAAAATCATGTCGTCATCGCAAGCGTTTAGATTATGAAAATAACAATTTGGAAGGTGTGGCCCGTTCAATCTGTTCAGAACTTAAGTCCGCAACTTGCAACCAGTGTTGCAAGGTTACAGAAGTGAGAATTCGTTCGTTCAGTTTGTTGCTCAAAAATCGTCATTTGCATGTGAAATCGTCAACATAAAAAGTTAAAATAAACAGAACCAGGAAGCTGTTTTGGTTTTTTTCTGATAGATATACGTAAAAAACAAAAAGTTAAACTTTTTTTCGAATTGTTATACTTTACATTACTTTCAATAAAAATATTTTTGATTGCAATAAAATCGGATTTTCTTCGCCATTTTTAGATCATTAATGCCCGGCTGCACTAACAAATTTAAAATTAATCAGCTTGTCAAAATTTAAAATGACACAATTTTGTTCGGAAAACTAAACATTATAAATTTTAACAGTCTGATAAATTCATTGATTAGTGAAACTTTGTATTAGTCGTATAACATTTGTTTTTGTCACAAAGTTTTTTCATCAAATAAAAAAATTTGCTTAATTTTTTTTTGTTGCTTGAAAAGGAACTTTACCGTGGGAGTAAATTTTATTTAAGGACTAAATATACAAACGTGTTTTCCTCAGATCCTCAGACTGATTTTAGGAAATGTTTATAGCAGAACATTTATTTTTCATTTCTTCGGACGATTTTATGAATTTTTCGATTTTATTGAGAACCGTATACTAAGCTTTAATCAGGTACATTTTTAATGCTACGTTTCATTTTTGAAACTTTTAAGTATATCGCTGGTTGGATAAATCTCAAAACAAGAACAATCATTTCCTTTTGATAAGTCCCGTTTGAACAAAATTCCTTCAAGTTTACCTTTCTTGCAAAAAAGCATATTCTGACGCGACAGCTGAGGTATTGAGAACATTAAATATTTGCGCACACTGAAACTTTAACATATGTATTAAAACTGTTAATACTTACAATTTTTGCTAAATATTTTATTTACAAGTTCCTTCGCTCAATAAAATATGTATCCGTACAAAGCGCAAAAGCTACGAATTTGTCCCCAAAAACTTCAAAAATAGTGATGAAATATAGAAGAAATCTACTTATCGACAACTACTGTTAGCTCTGCCGCATGATATAATTTCGAAATGACATTTATATATTAGCAATTTTTATTTGTCTGTGTAACTATCTTTAAACTTGAGAACCATCCAAATTCGCGCATAGAAAAAAAATCGCCATTGGAGTAAAAATTCGTCAATTCGTCATGCCCTTAAAAATTTCCAAAATGACGACCAAATTGGCAATCTGGCAACACTACGTGCAACTCTGTTTTGTAGGTATGTGTCTAGACTTCGATTTTCGTACTGTAGGAACTTTTCTTACGTACTGTTGGAAGCTGCCATTTTGAAATTTCGATGACAAGTTTAAAGTGTCAGTAGTCGGAAGTGGCTGTCGATACGTTCGTAAGTTTTATTTGGAAACGTTTATTGAAATTCGGAAATATCATTGAGAATCAACATTGATGGTTTTGCCGCTTTTCGTAGTTCAAATTATCAATTCGGGCCGGTTCTTTACAAGATTTATGGGGTGGGCTTTCCAAAACGGAACCAATCGAAATTTCAGCGAAAGTATAAGGAATTTCGTCATGAAACATGGTGAGGATGTTGGGGGAGGCCTCCTCAACATGACTTGTTCACTCTCATAATATAATTGCTAATAGTATTTTAGCAATTTGTTGTTAAATAATGTCTACTATCACCCCCTAATTTTTTTAAAATATGCCACTTATCACTTATATTTTGTGTTACATATTATATTTTCAATGCTCACATGCGTATTTTATGCTTTTATTACATATAATTCACCAATTAATTAAGTAAAACGCGTTTATAAATTTGTGTTCACGTTTTACCACTTTTCACAAACAAACA